TGTAGCAAAGATGAAAAAATACAACTTTCCTCTAGTTCTTAAATGCTTCCTCCCCCCCCACTAACATGATTCCACTAACATGATTCCTTACAAATCCACCTGAACCAGAGGATATACACAGGTACAGATAGGAACTGGAAATCCAGGATGGATGATCCCTTCAGGACCAGTGGTGAGAGTGGCCATACCGGGAGGGTGGAGGGAAGGTGGGGTAGAAAGGGGGAACCAATTAAAAGGATCTACATATAACCTCCTCCTTGGAGGACAGACCACAGAAAAGTGGTTGAAGGGAGACATCGGACAGTGCAAGACATGACAAAATAACTGATAAATTATCAAGGGTTCATGGGGGGTAGGCGGGGAAGGAGGGGAAGAATGAGGGGCTGATACCAAGGGCTCAAGTAGAAAGCAAATGTTTTGAGAATGATGATGGCAACAAATGTACACGTGTGCTCGACACAATGTATGCATGTATGGATTGTGATAAGAGTTGTATGAGTCCCCACTAAAATTATTTAAAAAGCCCCAACCATACAGAGCAATTCTGCCCAGTCCACAAGGGGTTGTCCTGAGTCAGAGTGGATGTTGTTCCTTCCTCCCACATGTGAAACTGAGAAAGACTTGTGTGTGTGTGTGTGTGTGTGTGTGTGTGTCCCAGTCAAAGGGGTCACACTGCCCTTGCCAGGATGTGTCTGATTCTCGGCTTAGGGTCTCCTCCTCCCCCCACTCTGCCTTGCTCTTCTACTGTCCTCTGCATGGCCTAGCCAGGGCTGCTCTGCCCTCTGCAGAGGCCTGGGCCCAGATGCTGCTGGCTCTTCTGGTCCCATGAGAAAAGGCCACCTGCTGAGTGGACAGGGAGGTAGGGGGTGGTGACTGATGATAGGCCAGGGCTTGGATTCCAGCCTGTCTCCCACTATGGGCCAACTGTGTACCCCCTCCTCTGTGGGCCCCCTGGCAGTGGTGGCCTTCCCCTTCCATTCTTGAAGGCATGGGGGGGGGGGGCACACGGCCACCTGGGGAGGGTGCCTAGGGC